ATCAGTCACACAATATTAATACCAACTGTAATTAATCACTCACTAGTTTCATCATTTTTATGTTGAACTACTTTCCAGCTGCTAACATTTGCCAAGTCTTACATGTAGATACTTTATGGTTCAATAACTTTACTGATATTTTTTTCTGGTGTTTGTTATTCTGGAGGACTCTGGGAACTTGGAGCTTTGGCCTGTAATCCATAGCTTGAGTTTCCAGGTCAGTGTCAATGTCTTTGAGGATGATGTGGCAAAGCCTTGCTGAGAATGGGTGAGGATCACCTTTGAGAGCTGCCATCTACCCCTTGCTTCATTACCTTAAGATTTCCCTGAAATAACCAGCTCTGATCTCTGTAAGAACAAAGATAACAAAGGAAGAAAGCTTGTTCCTGTCAAGAGGACTTTTTGAGGGAGATAGCTATGCAAATTAAAGACAATCTAAAAGGATTTGTAAAAGGTTGCCATTCCTTCAAACTTGTAAAAACTTTTCAAATTCCATCGTAAAATAACCTTTATTTCCAAGTTGAAAGTGAAGGTGGAATGCTTTTTTGGTTACAAGTTCCTGCTTAGAGAAAAGTGATGTAAACTGCAGTTGATCTCTTGGATTTCAGTAGGTGGGTGTGCGGGGAGAACAGCAGGGCACCCACCTACACACCCCAGTGAAAACTTATAGTTATTAAGACACTTTCCCGCCTCTTTGACCAATGGAAGAACCAGACAGCAGTGGGTTGCTATGTTGGTCTGCTTATAAAAGAATTTACAAGAATTACAAATTATAAGAAAATGAAAGACTATTATTTGACCTTTAGTAAAAGTTTGGATTCATGTTTGTTTTTCTGGGCTTTAACTAAAGTAAATGCACAAGCAAAGAAACAATTGTTGGCTGTGTGTAGTTATGTATTACTTTCTAGGAGGACTAGGTGCTAAATAACAGAGATATAACTAAGTTCAGTCACTCAAATTGACAAGAGTACTGTGCTTACAGTAGTACTGTACAAGGAGGCATGGATGACTTTCCACACTTGCAGAAGAACAGAACAAAGTCAAATCATTACAACAGTTCCTTTAAAGTGTTTGTGCTCAGAGACAACCTTTGCAATGTCAGGAAGGAGAAAAATCAATAAGAATTCTTATTTAAATCTGTTTCCTTAGGGGCCTGGGGTTTAGCTCAGTGGTGCCACTGCCTGCCTCACAAGCACAAGGTCCCAAGTTCAGTACCCAAAAAAATCTGTTTCTTTGATGAGTTTATCATTAATGTTTATTGTCTTAATATTATTATTGACATTTGGGGGGTTTTGAGAATTAAAAGAAATAATAAAGTAAAGTAAGTAATAAACAGAACAACCAGTAATAATGTATCATTTACCATAATAAATTATGTTAATAAATATTATTTTAAATTATTATGTTATAAATTATTATGCAATAATAAACATAAATACAATAGTGTTATAGGAAACAGCAAGAGTAATGACAGCTCCGGTAAAGAATGTGCTTGCTTTGAGAGTCTGTTTCTCTGTGAGGAGAGAACCACAGACACACAGTTCTTTGGAAACCTGCAGGAAAGCTGTGGACAGGAATCTCTTTACTTGTGGAACTGAATTTTAGTCAAGCTAGGTCACTGTGGTGTTTCCAGTTCAAATCATAGCAGCATATATAGAAGAATAAGAAGCATTTTTCTGACGTGTAATACCATACTTATATATAATATTCTGTGAGGTTGTAAAACAAATAGACTTGAAGAAAATCAAGAAATTATGCTATCTTCAAAAAAGTACACGCATTCTAATTTATATCACTTTTATTGTATTTACAGTTTGAGTTAGCCTTCCAAAGATTAATTTATTGAACTCTCTGCATAAAATATATAACTTTACATGTTTACAATAATTATTTTTTCTTTAAACTGCAATTAGGGCTGGGGATTTAGCTCAGCGGTTCGGTGGCCTGCCTTGCAAGCTCAAGGACAGGAGTTCAATCCCCGGTACCAAAAAAAAAAACCTGCAGTTATAGGTACAACAGAAATGTGTTGGGCCCTGATTTTATGACAGACTCCATTCTAGGCCCTGGAAAGCGGAGAAGCTAAAAGTATCTGTGGAAAAACCCTTCCCTAAGCAAAGAGACCAATAAAAGGCTAATACATTGACAAAATGTGTACTGTGTCTGATGATGAAAAGTGTCATGAATTAAAAAGGTAATGGTAGAGAGACAAGGAATGCTAAGCAAAAGGAGAAGCTGACATTTTGAAAGAGGTGCCCAACTTTCCAAGAAGGTGATTTGGACAAAGATTTGAAGATTCAAACTGCAGGAGCAACTTGTAGAAATGTATGAAAAAGTGCAGATATCTGTGGGAAAAACATACAAGGCAGAAGATCTGCTAAACACTAAGACTCTGAGGCAGGAGTGCACTCAAAACTGAGCAAGAAAAGTACAGTGTGACCAGAGAGGAGGAAGTGTTTGAAACTGAAAGAGTGACAAATTGCAGTTATTGATAAGATGCAACCTGGAGGGGATTGGACGAAGTTTATCGCAAGCTAAGTCTGCTGAGATGAATTGTGTCGGACGTGGTGACAGCGATCCAGGAGTTTGAATTTCCTAGAACAGAGCAGAGTGACTTGGAGAATAGAGATTACTACAAGAGTCATGCAAGTAGGCAACATTCTTGTTTTATAAAAAAAGCAAGATTCTGCTTTTATAAGTTTCTCCTACACCTCATATTTTAGTATTATGCCTTCCTGGAACCATATACAGTCAGACATTTGCTGGGAAGGGAAAATATTTAAAATGGTATGAGGTCAAATACTTTTCGGCATTTGCCCTCACAAATTTTAAATTATTATTTAATTACAAAAATAGTATCTCTTAGAGAAAACTGGATTTTATTGTCAAATACTGTTTAAAGGCTCTCCCATTAAATAAAAGCATTAACATTTATTTGTTGCTATTAAAATTAACATTTACTACATTGTACTGTTTTATAGTGTATAAACATGTTAATAGTATAATATGTTAAAACAATAGCAAAGTATCTTTCAGCATGTGTGAATCTGTTGAACCATTTTATCCTCAGGAGTTTTTGTTTCTGTTGTGGTGGCAATAACAAAGTTTTTGTAATATTTATTGTTGAAAAATTCAGCATGCTTAAGCCTTGTCTATAAACAGCTTTTATTATTTTATAAGTTGGAAATTTCCCTTTATATTAACAATATAAAAAGTAATGTAGCAGTATAGGACAGTGCTGATCTGATAAGCTTCAGACTCTAGGAGACTTGTGTCCTGGCTTCCCCTTTGCCTGGGTAACACAGTTAAACTCAGTATGAATTGCACTGAGCCTCTGTTTTCCCATCTGTAAAATGGTGATGAGATTGCTCCTTCTCTGGCCTTGCTGAAGTACTAAGTGAATACCAAAAGGTGATAGGAATAGCCATGGAAAGTTCTCCTCGTACATACAATTATCCTAGAGTATTTTTATGCCCAATATCCTCAGCATATTTTTTCTCTGTTCACATTTTTCTTTTTAACCTGTTGGAAGCTAGCACAACTCATTTATTCTGATTTCCTCTTTTAGTAGACTAGCTGCCTCCACAGAGGTCAGCAGTAGTGTGGGATTAGATGGCTATATTTACATCTCCTACATTCTTTTCCTTTACTAGGTTACTGTTGTGCACGGGATCTTGCATTTTATTCCTGGAATCTCCATTAAAATGAAATTTGTGTTGGACCAGGGATTTAGCTCAGTGGTTCTACCACCTGCCTCGCAAGCACAAGGACCCAAGTTCGATCCCTGGTACAAAAAAAAAGGAAATTAGTGTTGTCATTTTGTTGTCTGCTCCCCCTTTACTGTGCTTGGTTAACAATTCTCAAATATGCTTAAGATTATTTTAAATTCATACCAATAGCCTATTTATTTCAGTAAGGGAGTCAGTCCATAGTACCTTTTCATGATAGCCACCTTACAGCATTCTGTGTTGAACAGTTTTTCTCTTCTTTAGGAGCTGTCATCTGCCAGCTTTCCCCCAAAGCAGGAGAATGCCAGCTGACCTCCTGAAGTTGCTGCCTCCTTCTGTCCTAATGTTGACACTCACAGAGTTTAAATTGGCATTAGCAGTTTTATCCTTCCTTCTCGTAGCAGATACTACAGCAGCCTTGAGATTTCCCATTTTTCCAAAAAGACTGCCAAAAATTCTCTATAACATTAACTGTAGTTTATGTGTAGTATTCTGAATATAAGCCACATATATGAAAACTAGAAAAGCTACCCAACGTACTGTATCATTCTTGGTATTTGGATAATATATCGAAGTCCTTGCTGGACCATTTCCATTTCAGCTGAACAAACTCATATTTTACAATTTCTTTTAAAATTTCATTTCCTTAAAATTGTAGCACAAAAATCTCATTGGCTGTCATGTATGTTGTGTCATTATGTGATGATATATCTTTACCTCATTTTTATATATTTTGGCTCCATTTCTTTGACTGTCATCCACTTCTCTGTCCTGATCTTTAGATTTTTGGTATTTTTGACTCATTTTTCTTGCTACCATTTTGATGTCACTGATGTTTTAAAAAATACCCTGACCTAGTGCTGCTATCTTTTTTTGTAAGAAAATCTCAATCCTATCACATTTAGTAATTCTTTATTATAATATTCTATGGTTGATAATCCCTATGCCAGATAAACAGATACATTTTCTGCCTCCCTGGGTAAATTCCTCAGTTTTTCACCATTTATACACTTTGCCTCATTAAAAATAAATATTTATTATTCTTAACATAATCTTAAGAAACAGATGATTTGTTTTTGAATAAAAAGTCATATTAGAATAGACATATGACACCCTTCCTAACCAATCCTCTTTTCGTGCTATTTCAGCCAACCTGTGAGGCAAAAGTCTCAACTGAATAAACATACTGAAGTATTCACCCTTTGATTTCTTTGAGTTTCCCACATTTATATCCTTCTGTTTTTGTTTTTAAATCTCAACAGGCTCCCAGGTGAAACGTCTCCAGTGTCCAGTTACTCTGTTAAACTGTCTTTGAAGCCACCCACACCTTATGTAAATAGTTCATGTTAATGGTGACACATGAGCAAGAGATGCACATTCAAAAACAGTATTTGGATTCGACTCACTTGGGCATCACGATTAAAACCTAGCCAAGTTGCTGGCACATCCAAGTATAAACACCTACTGTTAAAGGGATTACTTCAATAACATTGAATTGAATGTCCCAACCCATGCCATATTAAATCTGTTTGTCTGTGTCTCCTACTGCCCTCTACTCTCTTATTTATGCTTAACCGGAAAGCATACATATTCTCATGCTTCACCCTTTCCTAATCCACCTTTCACCTAGTCCCTGACAGTATAGAATTCTCCCTTTTGTTCTTTAATGCATTCAAATTGTTTCTTCTCTAATGAATTTACCCTTCTTAAAAAAAAATCTATATTCTGTACAAATAAAATTTTATGTTGTACTACGTAGTTGTGACATTGGCTCTGAACAGATGGACTGCCTCTTTCCACTGTGTAGTGCCCAGCTTTATTTATTTCCCAGACCGTTTTCTTCATATTTCATAATCTGTCCTCCCTCTCTCTGACGTCTTAAAAGGGGAACAGCATTTCCCTCACTCCGTCTCTTGTCCTGTGATTTTCTTCCTTTTCAAACAGAATTCATCTACTGCTGCTGAATGTATTAATTATTTAGGTTTTTATTTCAGCTTTTTCTTTTATATATAAGGGCATCCACCTCTTTCTTTTCCAAAAAATATTGTTCTGATCCTTGGAAGTGAAGTATTTATTGTAGATGGTTGTAAAAACACAGAAAAATATGTAGATGAAAGTTCAAAGCACGTGACAAAGCATTTTCCAATTTTTTCTCTGTATGTGTATACATTTTCCAAACAAAAATAAATGCAATAATGTACAGTACATTTTAAAAAATATTTTACCTACCATTATATCATATGCACTTTCCTCTTGTGAAATATTCTTCACACTTTACTTTTTGTCAAGGTAAAATCTGGATGTAACAAATCCCTATTTTAGAGTTTGGTATTATTTTATGTGTTAATTTTTCACTGTTAAAAATTACACCATGTTAGGCCAGGGATTTAGCTCAGAGCCACCATGCCTGTCTTGCAAGTGCAAGGTCCTAAGTTTGATCCCTGATACCAAAACAAACAAACAAACAAAATTACACCATGTTTAACATTATGTACATAAAATACTGGTTTTTTCCCCTCTGATTATTTTCTTCAATTGATCTACTAAGTGTATGACTACTAAGTTAAAATGTATGTAAATATATTGTATGACTTTTGTGTATGTTGCTAAAGCATTCTATCCACTTATAATTGATATCTTTTTCTATAGCTGTTTCCCTAAGGGGAGGGATTAAATAGCCATTATTATGGAATTATTATTAACAGCTCCCCTCGTGTGTCACCAATTTAAACCCCATTCATTTTTTCATGTTTTGTGCTAGTTTATTTCTCTGCTAATTTATTTATTTCACGTGCCAATTCAATGTTAAAACCTCAATATACGGTAGGACCTGTGGTAGGCACGAGGTGTAATTAGGTGATTCAGTAGTGATCTTTTTACTTAGTGGTAGCTCTTAGTGTCTGATCAGAGGTGGGTATCATGACAGTTCATTCTGGTTCATATTTCCTTGGACTGTGTATTTTAAAGATTCCCTAAATTCATATTCCTGGTTACCATCTTCACCAATCTTCCACTATGAAAGTGTATACATTGTATGTTTACAAAGCAAAGCCTTACCCTTACAATGAATATCTTCCACTGTTTACCAATATTAGGAGCTCAAATATTACCCCTTTACCGAGCAAAATTCTACTCTATTGTTTTTTTATATATCCTGTGACCTCACTGAATATGGATTGTGTGTACATTTATGTGTGCATGTTCACAAAAAAACAATCTAATGATAAATATTTATATGAAAGGGTAATTAGACCATGAATTAGATTTTGTTAATCTTTCTACATTTTTCTGTTTTCCAAATTTTATAAACATACATAACAATATGCAATCAAGTAAAAACAACTTCAAATGAAGCTTTTATTCAGCTCTAACTTTTATGATGGGTTAAATGGCTACTACCCCCCCATATGCTTGAATACATGTATTATGTGAGTTTTTTATGCATGTTTTATGTCTGATGTTTTTTCATTTAAAACTTTTTTTCAGTGTCCTCTATGGAAATAAAATCACAGAACTACCAAAAAGTTTATTTGAAGGACTATTTTCCTTACAGCTACTGTAAGTATTTGAATGTTTGGATCTGTTGGATTTCATCTTATATTTTGTTAGTTTACCATCTCCTGTTCCCATGGAGGCACCAGAAGAAATGGACCCAGAATGATATAGCTTAATGAAATGGAAAAGATTAGTCTAGTGGTGCTAACGATGATGGATATTTGTTGAAGTCACAACTCTTTGGAATTTTCCCAAAGCCTTCTCTCTGTAGTGTCATAAGTACTTGCATACAGCTTACATAATCTTGCTTGGAAAATCTGTCAGTTTCGGTGTAACCAGTGTTGGAGAAGAGAGATATACATTAACTGATATACGTGGCAAACTTTGTCCAAACAATTTACAGATGCAGACGTGTTGGACTGACATCTCTAAACAGACTTGTGGTGTGCAATAGGTCATTTATACCAGAGTCTTCAAATTATCAATAAATTCTTTGGTTGTGTCCTATCCTCAAAGACCACTCTGCTTAGACAGTAGTTATTACTCATTGGTCTTGAAGGAATTCACTGTACATCCTATTTATAGAAGCTAGGTTTGACCCCATGTGTTTCAATGTCTGACCATATAAAAATTAAATTTGGAAAACAAAATTTAAGACATCAAATTCTAGGGTCAGCAAATTCTGTTTGAAACTTTATGTGCAGAGTAACTACCTGGGGTAGTTACTGGATGCTTTGAACACACATCTAATATGATGTGATTTCTTCTCTCACCTAACTCACAGTCAGTCTCCCTTAAATTTCTTAATTTTAGAATGTTGTTTTTTTGAGGGGAGAGTATCTACTTGTTGGCATTTATTTGATAAACATTTACTCTCAATTCCCAGTATTTGTAAATGTAGATCTTATTTTTTACTTGATAAATGTATGTGCATAATTATGTCCTATTATTCATGTCTTAAGCTATTTTTGGCAGAATTATATGTTATAGCTCAGTTTACACATATACATGCATATACAATGAAGCCAAATGTTAACAAAACAGTACTGAATTTTACTGAATGTAATATTCTTTATTCTGTTCACCTTCCTCATCTTCTACTCTTAATACTACATCATCCATTAAATATATTTTATAATAGATCAGTGAGTGATGACAAGTACTGATTTTGTGAACTAATAACCTGTCTGGGTTTTAATTTTTTTTTTTTTTAGCTTTTGCAATGAAGTTATCAAACATTGCTTCTGATTTGATAGATTCTGATCACATGAAAGATTTCTTTATACATAGTTGATGTGGCGTGATTCTCTAACCACGTATGCCTACCAGGAGCCCTTCTGCTGTTCTTCCATGGTTACCTAGCATGCTCCTTGCCAGTTGTCCCCAGTGCTCTGATCATCACTGCCCTCTTTACCTATTTATCACTTAAAAGACCACCTTCTTTTTCTCCACACACACTTAACTGTGGTTAATGTAACAAACACGGTAATGGAACATGAAAGTCTGTATGTAGATTGGCCTTACTTATAATGCCACCTTTATGGTATTCCATCCCTACAAAAGGTCACAGTTCCACAGAATGTTGATGTATTGGCAAAAAGTAGTATGTAGTGTACTGCTTTACATGTGAATTTATAATGCAGGACTAGAACTTTTAATGCAATAATTTATGTCACTATGCTGAGGATTCATAAATTGTTCATGCAATGGCGAATATTTATTGAGTGCCTAATATGTGTCATGTATTACCATATCTGGGAAATATCAGGAAACTAAGTAGACAAAGGTCCATAATAACATCACAGGAGGAGGGGATATATAAGTGACAGTGATGACATAACAAATCAGTAAAATATATAAATAACCAAAAGAAATATGCATTTTTAAACAGTGGATCAAATTAAGGGAATCCATAATTCTAGAGGTTGAAAGGGGGGAAAGACAGACTACAGAGATGACAGAGAGCGCTCAGGTTAGGCTGGGAAGAAGGACAATTTAGTCAGCATGGCAGGAATCAGTGGTCTCACCAGCCAGAACTGGGGCTGACCTGATCGTGCCCGGTAGAGGATGAAAGAGTCTAGTGTGTTGCAAAGTCAGAAAGTAGATCAGTGCAGCTGGGCCAGAGCACCAGGAGGAGAGAATGGGATGCTGCAGCACTCCCAAGAGTGGGCTGCAGATTCCTATTGGATGTTGTGGAGCCTAGGCTTCTGCACCCAGCCAATGGGGAGCTTTATATGTGGCTAAGAGAGGAGTGACGTTATTTGATGTAGGATGGATCGTTCGATGTTAAAAATAGACTGAACTTTGTCAAAGAGCAACATGAGTAACTACAGAGACTTTCATGGTGTCTTTGACAATAGAAGCTGAGTCTCAGCTACCTCAGTCTGCTGTTCTCTGTCCACGCCATTCTGAGTGTATGTTTAATATTTTGTTCAATTCGTGTCTAAGTACCACTGGATTTAGTTTAGTTTCACTTGACTATGTGATCTTTTGCTTTCTCCTATAAGCTGCAAATCTACAACCTGTAAATCCTAAACTATTACTAAAAAAATGCTAGTGTTGAGATTTTTTAAAAAACGCATTTTTTTATTGGCTTTTCTCAAGAAGGACAAAATCTTGCAGGTGAGTTAATGAGATGCTACACTTTAATTTTGCAACTATTTGATCAAACAGATTATTGAATGCCAACAAGATAAACTGCCTTCGGGTAGATGCTTTTCAGGATCTCCACAACTTGAACCTTCTCTCCTTATATGACAACAAGCTTCAGACCATTGCCAAGGGGACCTTCTCACCTCTCCGTGCCATTCAAACTATGTACGTAGATAAGATTTGGATCAAACTCAATTAGCAGTGCTTTTCCTGCATGTGAGAGTTGAGCCCAATGCAAGTCATGTATAAAACTGTTCTGTTTCTGAAAGGCATCTGGCCCAGAACCCCTTTATCTGTGACTGTCACCTCAAGTGGCTGGCAGATTATCTCCATACCAACCCAATCGAGACCAGTGGTGCCCGCTGTACCAGCCCCCGTCGCCTGGCAAATAAACGAATTGGACAGATCAAAAGCAAGAAGTTCCGCTGTTCAGGTAATTTCTTCTTTCCTGAGACATTTCCTTTGTGACAGAAAATAGTGGTTATGGGAGACCTTCCCAAAGCCTGTGGCTGACTCCCAAACATTGTAGAATCGTATTTCTTTCTCTTCTGCCTAAACAGGAAAAAAATAAAATAAAAATGAGACTCTTAGACACAACTCATATAGCACTTCTGTGGGTAACATTTTTAACACTATATTCCGCAGAAGAAATAGGATATTGGCTAAGTGAAAAAGATGCCTGGATACTTTATACTTTTTGATAGGTTTCAAAAAAATGAGAGCCCTGTAACTAACTCTAAATGCTTTTAAAATATGTAAAGACCCACGTTTGTTATATTATTCTCTATTATCCAACTTCAAATAATTAAAAAATCAACCATGTTTTCATTTATTCAGAAAGTGAGTGAAAATTTGGTTACATGATTTGTTCAGGCTCTGATGTGAGAGGGGGAAAAAAGTCCTCCCCTGTCTGTTACCTTCTCACTGAATGCACTTTGTTATTTTGCATTCTCTTTTTTTTTCCAGCTTTAATTGAATTTATTGGTACATTTTAGGGATACAGTACAGTTACATTCATTGTTGGGATCTTGTACCTCTACCTGACAGGTCTTGGTTGTCATTGCATTCTCTTATTTTGAATTGAGGATTCATCTTTTTTTTTTTTTGCAAAAGGCTGTCTTTTCACATTCTGATAATATTACATTTGTTTAAAACAGCTACATACAAATTCACTGTGTTTTTATGAAAAAAGCTTACTTTGTTGAAATATACTTCTTGCTTTGCCATAAATTTTCTATGTTCTGACGATAGGCTGTGTTCTTTGTATTTCTGGTAATATTCTACCTAAGTATTCCAGGCCTATTTCACATTTGGAAGTTAATTCATACTAAAAAGCTAATATCCAAACCCGGGTGGTTATTATCCACAATTATAGATGCATTTATTACTCATTGAACATTATTATACTTCAGCTACTGCTCTGAATATACATTTTTCAAGTAGTTACCTGTAGTAACTTGGGTCCATTCTTAATCTAATATAGCTCATACCTCTGCTTGCTGACATTCAGGTGCATCTTCTATTTTTTCTCTTTTTTTATTTAGCTAAAGAACAGTATTTCATTCCAGGTAGGTTTTGCTCGGTAGTAGGACTAACCGCAAACACCCTTTCCTCACCTTCTGAAGTAGATCCTAAAACTGATATGCATGCTTTTGAAAGTACAGTGGGTACTTTGTAAATAGACTGACTTATGCATAGATCACTGTAACTGTTTCCTGAAAACCCGACCTTTGCATGCAGCTTCTGATGTTGAACATATTTATTATTAAACTCCCACCTTCTTTTCTCTTTCACTTTGGCACATTATCTACAATTTCTCACAATAGCTAAAATCTTTGAACCTATGGCTTTCTACTGAAATCATTTTTTTCCTTCTTCCATTGTATATCTGATAGTTCAGCCTGTTTTTAAAATTTAGCTTACTGAGCTAGTTTTAAAGACAGAGGCCCTTCTATTGTCAAAGAGCTAATTCTACATGAAATCAGTGTTAGCACACAAAGTTGCATTTTCAGTAGTAGACTTGCGAAGCTTTTTATATTTAAAAGTTCATGTTTTTCTTTTGCTTAGTTTTATAGAAAAACAGCTTCATGCTAGTTTGTGTGCATTTGTACCTTATTGGTTTGTAACTTTACAATCTTGCATACCAGACTTGGAGTATAACTCCACAAAAAAAAATTATTGATGTCCAGGATGAAAACATTATAAAGTTCATAAGCCCTAAACGCCTTGAATAATTTAGGCAGATGGGCAGACGGGTAAAATGTTTCTAAGAATAATGATTGCAGTATTTTATTACTTCAATCTTAACATTCTCGTGACTGATGATTCTAGAGCTAGCTCTTTAAAATATGTTCCTTCACTTACTTTTTTTCCTTGCCTGCCAATTGTGTAAGATGCTTTTGACTATTGTAAGCCATTATATTAAAAAAAAGTGTTAAATATCGATTGGCTGCATTCACCATTTCCTGGGTATATTATATTTTACAAATTACAAATAAGATATTTCTACAGTGTTCAGTGTATAAAGGTATACTTGTTTTCTTACAAAGAAATTTGAGTCTGGTCTCTCTGTTGAGGAGATAATTGTTGCTTCCCAGTATTGAGTTATAACCTAAATGCTTTTATCCATTTAACAAATTTAGTCACATTACTCATTCTGAGGAGTGTGAATGATTAAATATTATATATATTTTATTTGCCAGTAAAATAAGCAACATGTTAAAAAGAACAGTTGATTTGCCTTCATTGACATTTAAAATGTATGGTTCTTAACTAATTATTAAGTGGAAAGTCAGCTGACAGCTGTTACTTCACTGAGAAAAAGCTATATTATAAATGCCAGACCACCCATAGACTAATCATCAATATAATTTAAATCCTAAAATTGTAACAATTAATATACTAGTTACAAAATTGTTCAAACTATTATATTTAAATAGATTTTACCAAAAATTTAGAAACCAGTATTTCTAATTCACCAAGAATAGAGCCAAACTGAGGCTTTTTAAAATTATTCTAATACACCTTTCCCCTCTTACTGGCAGATAGGAGCCGAAATAGATATTGACAAATATATTTTTTATCTGATACAAATTATTAACTTTCAATTCCATTACTTAAATTACTAATAGTAGGCAGGACACAGCAAGATACTTTAGGCCTCCTTTACCCTAATTTTTCGAAAATCTTAATGAAAATTTAGATCTAGCTAATGAACTATCATAAATCATCATTGTTTTCATAGGAATGGCTGCAGATTATTTGAATATATTCAGTGAACCTGTCACTGAGACTTATCACTGCACCCTTATTTCACTTTGGACTAAAGCTGAAGGCACAATAAAACAGAGCCTCAATAATTACTATGGCATTAATTGCCAAATATAATCTAGTGGTTATATTTGGCATTGCAACTAATGAGAGTCTGATCCCGTTCTCACTAAGTGACATTATTTGTAAATTGGAAGGGTCGTTAAAAAGCATTGTAAGCTACAACCTAAGGATTAATCAAGTGTTCCAATGATAGTCCTTGAGGTTCTGCACGATTGATTTTTCATTCACTTTTATATGTGTACTTGCCTACTACCATTCTACATGGCATTCTAAATATTACAGTCATAACTCAAAGGAAAATCTGCCTTGCAGAGAGTTCATTTTTTAAAGAAATCGACAATAACTTAATTTGTACTATGCATATTTTATGCCATTACTTTTCCTTTAAAGCTATCATGCTTCAAAAAATTATTGTGAATTTCACAAAGCATGACAAATCCCTTCATGCCATGCTGTTCCCCTATGATTGCCATGATAAAGAAATGAGAAAGGGAGCTTAGTTTGATACATGTGTATGTGTCTGCTAACCTTAATTGGGATTACTCTTTCTTTCTTTCCTTCTTGGTAATCTTTAATTTTGCAGGAACTCACCACTTGGGCTGTAAGTAAAAGTGTCTGATCTGAAACATAACGTCGTCCCTTTTCGATCCCGATGTACCTTCTTCTAGTCTTGATCTTTTGTACCTATTTTTCAAGAAGAAATCACAGATCTTTTGAGCTTCTCTGTCGTCCTCGTAGCTCACCTTCAACTTCTTCCCGGATGTCCTTCCCGAAAGCTGTGGTCTCCATTCTGCGGTTCTGAGGAATGGTGGGAGCACCTTTCAGTAGAGACCCCTTTTTGTGTTTCCAGGAAACCTTCGGTAGTAATACACTTACTATGGTCCTAGACATTCTGCGGAAGAGTGCATGTCATGTACACAGTGTTACATTCCCGGAACGTCTGTAGTTTTTCTCCCACTTCCCTTCATCTTTCCTCTTGGTCTTCCCTTTGGCCTAGTGGTTGGTGTAGTGATAATGTAGCGAGATTTTCTGTTGTGCTTGATCTAACCATGTGGTTGCGAGGTATGAGTAAAACATGGTTCCGTCAAGCACCATGGAACGTCACGCAGCTTTCTACAGCATGACAAGCTGCTGAGGCTCAAGTCAGGAATAACTTGTTTCTTTTTATAAAATCAAAATGAGAAAAAAAAAAAGAGGGCTTTTTAGGCATTTCTGGAGATTATGTGAGAGGGAGAGAATAACAAAAGTCCACAGAAAAATTTAAAACCTGAGTATATCTATTTGCCTTGAAAGCCCTAATTTACAATGATATCAGGAATATGTTGATTATGGATACATTTTCAATTCTTGACCCAGAAAAAAAAATAAACTTTTTAAGAATTAATAGCCATTGTGTGATTAGCTCTGAAATAGGCTAGAATGGCTCAGAACTGGATCAGCAGAAAGTACAGCTGTGAAAAGCTCAATTTTATTAATGTTTTCCTGTTGTGTGAATCTGGTCACTCTTTTTTCCAGAAAATTCCAAGCCTTTCTTTTAACCCTCTCTTGACATCCATTGACAAAAATTCCCTAAGTTGTCTCCCTGCTGCATAATCTATAGTTATCCTACCTTTTCCTTCCGACGAATTAGTGAACATTCTAGTCTTTAGACTCAGTACCTTTTTCTTTGGCTTGAATTCTCAATAGGTACAGAAGATTATCGATCAAAATTAAGTGGAGACTGCTTCGCCGATTTGGCTTGCCCTGAAAAGTGCCGCTGTGAAGGGACCACAGTAGACTGCTCCAATCAAAAACTCAACAAAATCCCTGATCATATTCCCCAGTACACTGCAGAGCTGTAAGTTCATCCTGCCTCAAAGTTCTTACGGGGAAGGCTTGAGTGAAAGAATCAAAGCATAGAAAATTTTGTCTTGCCATTGCTATTCTCAATAATCATATTAATTCTAACTAATGCACATTGCATTTATATACTGCTTCTTTGTATAAGACTGTGTTAGAGGATATCTTAGCTCATTTTTCTAGGTGAAGATGTAATTAAAATTAATTTAACTCTCAGAATTCACTTGACACTTAAGAATGCTAATAATAATAGTGATGATTTGATTCAAATTTTTGTGTTTTTTCCCAAAATCCACTTCTAAGCACTTAATAGATTTTAAAGTATTTAATCCTTACTTAGAACAACCAAATAAAGTAGCTTGTGACTCACTATTTTGAATCCCAGTTAATTATAAATTTAGTCATGAAGTCTTTTTTTATCTTTTTTTATTCCTTCCTTGACTCACAGATAGAAAAATTCAGTGATTATCAGGTATACAAAGGCTAAGGGTAGATTTTTTTTTTCCTCAACAATGGATAGCATAACAGGGAAAGCCAAAGGTAGAGTATGACGATTTAGACTGATGAGTCTAACATAGGACCTAGCATGTGTGAATGCAAGACATTGCGGGCTCTTTGTAGATTCTGTGCATATACACGGTTTGCCTTTCTTGACTTTATTTATGAAGGCACGGTTTATGTGTTAGTATTCTAAAAATTCAAGGAAAGTCTAGTGAAATCTCATGTTCTGTACATCGTATGGTTTGCACCACCTGGTAATTGTCACTTTCTGCTTTGCAAAGTTGCTTGTCTGTCTCTGTGTGTATAATCCTCCTGTCTTCAACTAGATTATAGCCCCTTGATGCTAAGGAATGTGTGTTATGGCTTAACCCCCCACTGTGCCTATACACGTCTCCTACTTAATGATTTTTAAGGAAGTTGATTAATTAAAAATAAAGTTCTGCCTTTCACAGAGTAGATAAAAACTAACTCCTTTGTGGTTATAGCTTTATACCTGTTTGTACATAAAGCTATTTAATAACTGCAGGACTCTTAGAAACACCTGGAGATCACACAACAGAAGACCCAAACTCTTTTTTAACAATAATGTGGGGGTTTATATTTATTTCCAACAATATTACAAAGAATAAGTGATATCTCTCAGTGTGATAATGCCTCAAATATACTTATTTGGCAATCAAAAATTACATTTGAAACTAATGTCTAATGTAGATTTCAGTAAAATGTTTAATATCTTTTAAAAATTAATATTTTGCTCATTATGAATATAAAATCGATACTGGAAGAAACTATTTATAAATTATGCATCTGATTAGAGATTTATATCCAAAATGTGTGAGAAACTCTTACAATTTAAAAATAAATTACCTATTTGAAGTCAAATTATTTGTATGTTATACACAGCTCTTCACAGAAGATAGACAGATGGTTACTAAACACATGAAAATTTTTTTACACAGTCATTAGAAAAAAGCAAATTAAAATACAATGAGATACCAAGACAAACATAATGAAATACCTTTAAAATAAAAGGATCAATAGTAAATGGGAGAAATTGGGATACTCATACATTGATAAGGTGAATGTAAAATGCTGTGGCCTTTTTGGGATACAATTTGTCTATCCTTCCAAGACTTAGACATAGATTTCCCATATAATCCACCAATTCTCTTATAAGTACGCATTTAGAAGCACTGAAAAGATGTATCCAGAGAAAAACCTATCTATCAATGTCCATAGCAGAATTTTTTGTAATAGTTAAAATGTGGGACACAAATATCCAAGGACTGATAAAAGGCTAAATAAATGTGGGGTTTCCATACAAGTACTCATTCATAAAAATAGTAGAGTTCTGATATATTCTGCGGAATTAACAAACATTACAAACATCGTCCACAGTGAGAAAAGGCAGAAGCACAAAACCACATTTTACATGATTGCACGCCTGTGAAGTTACCAGGGTAGGAAAACAATGAGAATGTTGGAGGGACAAAGTGCAGGTGAGCAGCCAGAGTGTCCAGGGAGGTAACTGGTGACAACTACGAAGTTTCTTTTTGAGGGTGATGAAAACATTCCGAAATTAGCCAGCAGAGCTCGTTCCACAAATGAACGAATATTCTAAAATCCTCTAAATTGTACACTGCAAAAGGGTGAACTTTATAGTAGGAGATTTATATATTATTTAATAAAGCTGCAAATAAAAACATTATTAAGCTAATAATTTGGGAAAAATGTCTAAAAATATTTCGTGGGGCTAAGGATGTAGCTCAGTGGTACAGAGCCTGCCTGGCAAGCATGAGGTCCTGAGTTCAATCCCTAGTACCCAAAAAAAAAAAAATTCTTGGATGAGAAAAAGTTTGAGAAACTTTGTTCTAGAGATTACTACATATGAGCTGTTTTTGCTTATTGATATGTTTTATTTGATAATAAAAATTGAGGAAAATGCAGAAAAATTTTAGTTATCATTAAATAATATTACAGCCGGGGATTTAGCTCAGTGGTTCAGTGGCCTGCCTTGCAAGCGCAAGGACTGGAGTTCAATCCCCAGTACCAAAAAAAAAAAAAATAGTAATAATAATAATAATAATAATATTACAAGTCTGTGTGGCAAATACAATGTAATCCCTTTGTAACTCTTGGTAATAAAGCTTCCTGTTCCTTCTTTTCTCCCTAGGCGTCTCAATAATAATGAATTTACAGTGTTGGAAGCCACAGGAATCTTTAAGAAACTTCCTCAATTACGTAAGATGTAAGCCATTTGTGAGTGATCTTTTAAATGTCTCTACTGTTTTGTTGTGTTTGTCCCCATCCTTTTAAAGTTTTATCTAATTTTCTTTTGGAAATTAGAAAATATTTTTTAAAAGTCCAGGGAAAAGTCCATTCCATAACTACCCATGATATGAATATAGCATAATCTCTGAAAGAAACGTTTCCATGTGTTCAGAAAGTGCCAGCCAAAGCCTTAGCGTCTTACTCAAATGCAGACAGCTGGTCTCTGATGTGACCACAGCAGGAACCCAGCAATCCAAGCACATTAAAATGGGTTCAGCAGTATTTCGCAACTTCCTTTACTATTCCCCAAACCATGCTGTTATTTCTGCTTCAGCACATTCATGTTGACTGTTTGACTTTTTGCTTCATTAAACTTTCATTAGAAGATAGTCAGAATTAATGACTGGTAAACTGGCCCGATAGCTCTTCTGAGTTAATGCAGGTCCACAACTCATATTTTAGAATAAGTTCTTAAGCTCAGCAGTTCGAACACACTTAGTATTCTACACTCCCGAGGAGGAGTGAAGGGGAGACGAGAGGCCAAGCATGTCAGGACGAGGAGGCCCCTCCACCAGGAGGGAGTGTTGGAGGAGAGAAGCTTTCTCCCAAGACATCCTCGTGTCCACACAAAACTGACCCATGATCGCCCAGACCGCAGAACGGACCGTGTCTGCCTGTGTACCTCCATCTCTATCAGATGTTCCCCCAAAGTGTTTTCTGATTTCCTGATCGCCTTCCCTTTTCACTGGTTACTAAATATACTTTCTTTTTAGCTTTAAAATGACCTGTAATGCAGCAAATATTTATTGAACAACCACTTGAAACAGTGCTTTGAGAGGCATAAAAGATATGTGAAATTTATCTTATTTACAGCGTACTTGTGGTCCTGGAATGAATTGTGAAAAGGAAACAGAAAGAGCCTATACTGGACATTCCTGCCCTTTGGGCAAGCATTGTACTGTTTGATTTTGTATAAAATACTGAGAGTTAAAGTGCTCATCTCAACACAGTATTACTCTGGGAATAAATCTATATTTGAACACATCTCTGATGCTATCTAAACACTAACACATTTGAGCCTATTCTCTCTATTCAGTTATGTCTTTTGGTCATTAGTTAATTCACCGGTTTTAACTGGGGATATTTCTTTGAAATTTTTCTTATAAAATATTACAGAGCACAAAATTTTACACCACACTTTCTGTGGTCTCAAGTATGTTATGTCCCTGGGAACCCTTGCAGATCATCTTGGCAAGAATCAGACTGATGTTTCCTGCCGCAGAGATCCCCCTTGTTTTACTATCTCTTTAGTTTCACAGGAAAGGGGTGTCTCTTCACAGCTCCTGCTGTGCTGCACAGCAATGTACTGGGAGATTGTCGAAGACATTGCTCAGTAGAAGAAAATGATCAAGGCTGTTGCTTTAGTGGTGGCCTCTTTTAGAGAGAGGACTTTTATTTATAATCTTTATTTCAACTATTTTTATTTAGCAATTTTAGCAACAATAAGATTACAGATATTGAGGAGGGAGCATTTGAGGGAGCATCTGGAGTGAATGAAATACTTCTCACCAGTAACCGTTTGGAAAACGTTCGGCATAAGATGTTCAAGGGATTGGAAACCCTCAAAACTCTGTGAGTATTCTGATGGGCATTAGAATTCTACCGGTACAATGGAAGGCATTGTTCCTTATAACCCTGGGAGAGTGTGACCCTCGTACTCTGCCCACTCCATCCCTTCTCTTTCCGTCTTTGTCTCTTTTCCTCTCCTTCCCTGCGCTCTCTTAGATACACACACACTCGCACACATACACACACGCACATGTGTTCCTATGCATTTTGGGAAGGCAAAGACCCCTTTGCCCATACTCCTATTCTCTCTTAGTTGCCAGGAGAGCCCTTCCTGATTAGTCTTTCTCCAACAGAAAGGCTGCCCCATTTATACTGACCTGGCTTCCCTGTTCTGCCTCACATGATCATTCTCTTCTCTTTTCTTCAATAACTTTTGCTTTCTACTCACTTCTGGTCTAAGGACTCACATTTTCAAAATCAAGACTAACCCTTGAAGCATAGCATCTCTACATCTTATCCCGAGACTGCATTTGTCTGTCTCTATCCACAAGATCTTCCTGAAAAGCAGCGATGAGTTGCTAGTGGTCCATTTTTACTCCCTGCTTTGGAGAAGCCTATTTGTTCAGGGTAGAGAGGTTGATCGTGTTTTCCAAAGGCTACTGGCCAGGGAGGATGGGGACTGAAATGAACAGTAAGCACAACAGTTTTGGATTACTTGGATTCTCCACAGTGTGTATACATTTTCCATGTCATTATATTACATAAATGTCTCTGACAAAGCAGTATCCTAAACATGGGAAGAGAGACAAGCCAAACTCTTTGGTCTTTGAAGAACGTGAGAAAAGTATATGTAAGCAAGAAGCAGCTCTTGTTGACTGCAGGGCACTCTCTTCCCTAGACCCAGAGAGCTGTATACAACCAGGTAGCTGATAGGCTTGGCATCAGGAGGTCCATCGCCTGTTTTATAGGAGGACCGGCGAGAACAGCATTGCCCCTGGAAATGAGATGTGTCAGTAACTTCACAAGTTTGAACCCAATAAAAAGACTGAAGTGTGTAAGACCAGCGGTCTGCTCCCTGAGCTTCTCAGGTTTAGCTTAGACCTGTGTGATGGTGAACACTTTAGAGCTCTTAGTGATGTAAACAGCCCGCTATAGCACACTTGCCATAGGTTGGTCATCTTTGGCCTAAATCCTAACCCCCCAGCAGAACTAGCCTGTGACCTGCAGATCCCTCTATGGGCTGGTAGCCCCTCTAAAGCAGTATGCAAATGCTTTTTCCATTCTTTTATTGTTAGAAATACTTGGGCAAGGAGGTGGGCACAGAAGGTAGACCATAGGTGGCTGTGTTTAATCTTCCCCTCCACTGTCCCTGTTAACTCAGCGAAACACAAACCCAAAAGGCAGAAGCCACCTTTGTTCCACAGCAGTTGACTATGTTATTACTGAAACTTTTTCCCTGGTGGAGCAATCCTGGGGAGCAAGAGGGACTAGGCTATAATGCATCTCTAACAGTCTACTCCAGTTGCTATGATCAGACCCGCAGGCTGGATGGCTTAACCACACCAATTCATTCCTCATTCTTCTGGAGGCTGGGAGTTCAAGATCAAGTTGCCCATGGGTGAGCTTGTGGCGAAGCCATATTCTCAGTCTGTAGAGGCCATCTTACTCCTGTGTCCTCACATGACTCGTGGTCCGTGTGCTCACGTAGAAATAACGAGAACGCACGTGAGCTCTCCAGTGTGAGGTCGGTGGCATTGTCAGAATGGGCCCCATTCTCTTGATCTCAGTTAACATTAATTGCTTTCCTAAGGTCCTCTCTCCAAAGACAGCCATAGTAGGGAGTAAAAGCTTTAAGGTATGCATTTGGGAGAAGGAAAATGCAGTGCACAACACATCCTAAAGCAATTGCCAAAATATTTCTTCTGATTAGTTACGTTCACAGAACTTGCCCTGAAAGGACTTGTCAAAATTCAGCTTTCTCCTTTCATTTTATTTCTGTTGATGTTTTTGTGCTGTTTATGTTTTCATGCCTGGAACATCTACACTTGGCTCTCTCCTTAATCCAGCTTTGGCACTACCAAAAAAATAGAGCGAGCTAGAGCCAAACTTGGGGTACTCCAAGTGCTAAAGAAAGTTTTTCTAGAGCTATCTCTTCTTTCCCATGATGTCTTTCAGCTCTCAGCTTTAAAGATTTTGACAGAAAGTCCTGATTTCCCCAGACTTCCTAAACCTTTAGGAATAGAGGCTACTGTGTAGTCTATGTACATTTCAGCCAGTCTTAGAATCCCCAGACATTGCAGACAAAACACAATGCATATGTATGCCTATGGATTTTTCCATCAACAGAATGAAGTTCTACAACTTCTTCCAGGGCTCCATGACCCTAACAAGATTAGGACCAAGGGCTATCTATTATTTATGTAAAGGAAAGTGCTGATAACAATACTGTTGCAATTGTTTCTTAACACAAAATGACGCCTTGCTGGGGAAGTCGTGATCCTCTTTTCTTACCTTTGAGCAGAATACAAAAGTTTATATATCTTGCTTATACAGGATGATCTAGAATTTAAAAGCAACCCTTTGCTCATTTACTTTTGCCTGTTTCTCTTATACTAGCTTATATTCTGGAGACTTCTAGGTCATTACTTCTTGTTTATAAAAATTAATGCATTAACTTTTCTAGATTTATGAATAAGGTTTAAGGGAACTCTACATTTTATGTGGGAGTCTAGAGGTGTTTTTGTTGCTTTTTGAAGCCTCACATATAAACCACTCAATTAACATTGTGTACTGAGCCAGTTCTTACTAATGATTAAAAGAGTATTCATCCAATTAGTAGCAATATATTTAAAAAGTTTCCTCAAAGTAAACCTATTTAAACTTCACGTATACAATTGGAATCTATAAATTGTGCCTCTTTTATGGGTTCTAAACTTAAAAACAATAAATTTTCATATATACAATGATTTGTTCAAGCTTTAAGGGTACTCCCCAGAGTCCTGTTTGCTGCTGCCGGTCTCTGAGTCCCTGAGTCCCTTGGATGCCCTCAGCTCCACCTCTGCAGCAGCTATGGATTATTCTCTCTCTCGTTTCTGTTCAACCTCAAATGTCATACTACCCTGAAAACACATATCACAGGGCTGCAAGAACTCAGAGCACTGTAGGTGAATCAGGACATTATGCAACCATGCAAACACAATTATAGCACCAGAATGAAAACATTCTCCCCTCATCATAGGACCAGAAATCCACGCAGGCTCACCAGTACCTTCTGCAACTGAGTTTAATCGCTGATGACTCTGAGCATTTCATTCTCTTTAGATGTTCTCAGTACATAGCAATTTCTAATGGCAAGAGAACATTCAGAAACAGGAATGAGAGCCACCATACTCCAAAAGGATTATTTTCACTTCCAAATAGACAACATTGATTGCCTGATGCCTCACTTCCATAACAATGTCTTCTTTTTCTTCTCCAGGATGTTGAGAAGTAATCGAATCAGCTGTGTAGGGAACGACAGTTTCATAGGACTCAGTTCTGTGCGTTTGCTTTCTTTATATGATAATCAGATCACTACGATTGCACCAGGTGCCTTTGATACTCTCCATTCTTTATCTACTCTGTAAGTATGAAAAAACAGTCTTTCCGAATCTGAGCCAATACATTATAGTTCTTATTTTTACCAATAGTATTTTAATACATCATTAGATATTTCATAAAAATGTGATTGAGAATTCAGGTATTTTTTAAATGATACATTTATTCATATTTATTTTATTTTATTTTATTTTAAAATATTACCTACGATCTTACATTAAATTTTTAATGAAATAGTACTATTTTTTCAGTAAATTCTTTTTTATGGTAATGATTGATTTAAGTCAATGATGTGACTTAATTTCTTAATTTTGTGACTATTTATTATAATTCCAAAGTGCTGAAAATAAATGAAATGCTATATTTTTTCCAGTGTTCTCACACTGAAGTATTTCAGTGTATTATCATAAAAACAAATGATAGTGTAACTGTTCAAAACTATGCTCAAAAGTATCAGTCACAATGACAAGAGATACATTAAGATGATTACCAGGCCAACAATAAAAGGTGCTCTCAAGAGGCATTTGCTGCAATTAGGAAAATATTGAAGAAATAGGTTGTGCCTATCAAAGAGAATGTTTTATGTAGACTGCTTAAAAATAAAGAATATTTGTTGGTCTAAAGATGGAACTCAGAAAAAACACACATTGCTAAGGCCTTTTGTATGCCGATATCTGAAAAGCAGTGCTTGGAATTATGAATGTTATGACTGATGATTTCTTGGCCAGGTGGCATTCAAATATACCAGACTAATCCAACATGAGGGGAATAAAGACAGAAACAATAAAAGCATGCTTAGCATAGCTCAAGCCACGGAAGAAATAATTTGAAGGAAGCATCCATCCATCAGGAAAGCACTTAATCCTTTTTCCACATAAAATGTGACATTTTACATAGAGTGACTAATTTGTGCATATTAAAGGTGGCATGTTTATAAATAATGGGATTGTCAATAGGTTTGTGCTGAAGTGGTGAGATGCCAAAAGTATTGAGATTTCTAGAAGTAAATTCATTTTTATAACTGGCATTTAATCAACTCAGTTGTCAGTTTAGAAGGAAACCTATTCTCTGGAGCAAATACGAGATGGGAATCTTGAGATGACAAATTAATGAAATAGCTGTTGTCAGGTTAAACTCAATAATATAAGGTAATCAGCCTTCATCGTTATATTAAATTACTGCATTATCGGCATAGAGAAGTTTGACAGTAAGTCAGATTTCTGACAAGTTTAAATTATTTCTAAATGAGATACCTATCATGGTCCACAGCATAAACTCTAAATTGTTGCCTTCACTTTATTTTTTTGCATGAAAATATTTGAAGAATTATCTGATGTGAAAGTATTGTTTCTATTAATTTACAGACATAAATAGTTTAGCAAAAACATGCATAGCGTACGTTTTATGTGACTGAGTATGAATGGGAGGATGGGAATAAGATTAAACGTGAATTATTCCAGCAGATGTAGTGTGGAAAAATGGTAGCAGGGGAGAAAATGAAACCTCAAGTTAAACAGTTCATTGTTTGCCTGTGTGCTTAGAAACCTCTTAGCCAATCCTTTTAACTGTAACTGCTACCTGGCATGGTTGGGAGAGTGGCTCAGGAAGAAAAGAATCGTAACAGGAAATCCTCGATGCCAGAAACCATACTTCCTCAAAGAAATCCCTATCCAGGATGTGGCCATTCAGGACTTCACTTGTGACGACGGTAAGAAAAGCTCTCCCCGCCTTTTCGTCTTTCTCCATCGGTCGTTCGCTTGGCAGTTCTGATGCTTCTCTGTACGAGCATGTAGCAGGTCATAGCTCAGTTCAGCACGTCATCAATGGCTGTGTGACTTTTGCTTTGCTTTGTTGATTGCTTTGTTTTAGTAACAGGGCACCTGTTTTTGCAGCCTCCCCTTGTACATTTCCAATCTACTTGATTTGTGTTTTTCAGTATTTTACAAGATTTTCTAGTTTCCACTTTGTGGTGGATACTATTCATACAGCTTCAGCTTAACATTTCTTTATTATCTTTCTTATCCTCAGCATCTCTTTTTAAATGAAAAAGACAATTGATTTATAAAGTAGTAGGTCTATTAAATCTGAAAGAAGTAATATTTTTATGTTCTCTTACTCTACTATTGCATTTGATTCTCACAGTAGCCCTGCAAAGTAGGTAGATTGAGCAGGTTCTGTAATTATTGCCAGTGAACAGAGAGCTGATGTGAGCTCTGTATTTTAAAATGAGAGATTCGTGTAATTTTCACTTAACATTTTCTTTTTTGCGGGGGTACCGGGGATTGAACTCGGGACCTTGCGCTTGCAAGGCAGGCCACTGAACTGCTGAGCTAAATCCCTGGCCCTATTTTTTTTTCTTTGTGTATGTGTGTGTGTGTGTGTGTGTGTGTGTGTGTGTTCACTTAACATTTTAAATTAATCTGTTCCTTTATGTATCTTCGTGTCTGTCTCCTTATAACTTGTCATAATTTAGTTGGCATTTATGCGTAATAACTGAAAATTATAACTGACCAAATAATATAGTTATATTGGTAAGACAAATGGTTGATCTTTTCCAAAATTCTGCCCTAGGCATGTTGAAAATAGTGCTATTATGGTGTCAGTGGTGTCAATGTATATATTTATTACTTTATGCATAAGTGATCATCATATATCTCCTGGTAATTGTGTTTATTTAATGACATAAAAGCTTTTTATTCCCCACCCAAAAAAAACACAAATCTGAGATTTTGTGTATTTCATCTGACAATTTAGGAAACGATGACAATAGTTGCTCTCCACTCTCTCGGTGTCCTATGGAGTGTACTTGCTTAGACACAGTAGTCCGATGTAGCAACAAAGGCTTGAAGATCTTGCCCAAGGGTATTCCAAGAGATGTCACCGAGCTGTAAGTACAGCTTATCTTTCCCTTTCCGCGACAATTATTGCTTTACATATCATAGGGAATAGAGGTCAAATGAAACTATTTAGAATCCTGTTCATAAATTACATTCTCGGAGCACTTAGTAATTATTGCATAAAACCATAAACCAGTAATTTTAAAAGCCAGTTCGGAGACCTTTGGAAATTACAGGTTAGGTGTTTTTCTCTTTTCAAGGTAGGAATTCCTAGTGTTTTCATGACACTGCATTCCCCATGAAACTGGAAGTGAAGATAGTAAAATGTTCAATAGCTCCCACACCTACTTGCCACATTCCCCAATTTTTGTGACCATTTTACAAGATTAATGTTCCAGTGAATTCACTTTGGAAAATTCTTTATAGTTAATTTATTAAGAGTGTCTGGGGCATATCATATGGTTAATTCTTCTTTATCTTTATGAACCCTGGGAAAATATCTTGTCACTCAGGATAAATGGTACGTGAAGAAAGTGGCACTACCTTTTCTCCTGAAAAAAGATACTGTTTTGTTTTGATTTGCTTTTACCTTGAATCACAGTCCTTTAGATCCTAGAAGGTAGGAGGCCAATTATCTCTGACATCATTTGTCTTATATTTAAATACAAATTGCATGGTCAGTGTGCGCATTCCCGCCTAGTCCTTTAGACTTCAGACCCTCAGCCCACACTCCCTGGCTGCAGTCATGGTAAAGTGTGGAGTGAATTCATCAGAGAATAAACTGTTAGAGTAGTGATGCATGCGTTCCTCTCTCATCTCATTCCTTGATCTATATACTGAAATTTGATGTGCAGATGCTTCCTAAGCATCCAATTGTGTCCTTTTGTTCTTGTTTACTTTTTGTTTTTCTTTATGTGGAGCTGTGGATCCATAATGACTTAAGTCTACATACCGTTCATGCAGATGTGTACTTGTAATTCATTCAGAGGTAGGCAAATATTCCAAATGAGCAGCTCTGACAAAATTTAGGTAGTGTGCAACTTCTGATGAAGAAGTTAGTACTTCAGTTTTCAAAGAATTTATTTTTCCAATCACAAGGAGTGCACAGCACCTACTTTGCCTCTGAGTAAACACTTAAAGGAAGAGGGCATAATCCCAGCGCGTGTGCCCGGAGCAACCTTTTTAGATTTGAGTGTTCAGTTTCTCTCACTACCAATCTCAGTGTTTCATTAACTGTAAGCACTGCTTTGTGTCTGTGTGATTAAACACAGAATATTTATTTTAGTAAGTTTTTATTTGAGGAGATCAGGTGGCCTCTTCACTCACACTGCTAGAGGCCCAGATTGCTACGTATGCTGTATTCAGAGTTAGAATTTTAGGAATGGCCAATGAGGAGCGTAAAATCCAGGTGATTGTAAATGTCCAGTACCTCTGTCTACTACTTTAACTGGCCTGCGTCTTGCTCCTGTTGTGCATGCCTCACCGAATCATATTAAAGTTCTTTAATTTCAGTATTAAACTCCATTGAAGAAACTCCTGGAGTCACTGTGTGTGGGCCATCTATGTTTCTTCTGTCAGATGAACCTTCAGCTATTTTACTGCAATTATTGAACAGTTTTCTTTTCTTCTGAAGAAAGACTGTTACAGAGATTAGAAGAGTTTTAACACTTCTTTTGGAATTCAAGTGGAGCCTCCCACAAAGCTACTTCTTAGAACATTCTGAAGTCAGCACAATTCTTGTCACCGGTAGCATATGTGCATTATATTCGGCATATGTGCAAGAATACAGCAACAGGGAACCAGGGATTTAGCTCAGTGGTTCCGGTGCTTGCCTCACAAGGGCAAGGACCCGAGTTCGATCCCTGGAACAACAACAACAAACAAACAAACAAAAATCGGCAAAACACGTATCAGTGGACAAGTCTGGGTAAATGGTGTCCATTAATTTTAATCAGTTCCACAGAACTTTCCCTTTGGATTGTTTTAGATATAAATATTCATAGTGCACTTTTTTGAATCTTTTTGTCCTGCTGTAACGTTTTCTGAAATAAAACAAGAGGGCTGGCAAACGTGGGATGGTGCTTCCCTCTAGTGGTGTAATGGAAATTTTAGCTAGAAGAAAGAAAAAGGAAACTCCGGAAGAAAAGGAGTCAAAAGATGAAGTCAGAAATTTTGAGATGGTATCAAGAGTTGTATTATATCCCAAGTCTCAGTCCCACAGTTGATTCCATATTTTGAAGATGTGGGCCTTTCCTTGTATATATCTGGATTCATTCTGAAACATTAAAGATGGACTGTTAGCTTAGACTTACTACCTCTTCTATAGCCAACAAAAATATCAGTTCCAACGCACAACTTCATGATACACCATTACACAGAGCTAGGAGAAGCCACACTTCTGAGGTGCCTGGGTTGTTTGCAGACACATTTATAGTGACCCACGTTACCAGTAGACACTCGTGCCCTTTGCAACCTGTATTCTGGGAAAGCCTTAAGAGGAGATGAAATTTCCTTTTCTTTCTGTGATATTGCCAGGTAGCTAAAAAGCTATCTATCTATCTATCTATCTATCTATCTATCTATCTATCTATATCTATCTGTATCTATATCTGTATCTATAGATACAGATATCTATAGATACAGATATAGATATAGATAGATATACCTTTTAAAGTAGTCAGAAGATTTTATATATATATATATAAAATGCGTGCTACATTTGCAAAGTTGATAAGTGTCATGATATTCCATGAAACCTCTTAAAATTGTTAGAACCGAGATGATACGGGGTGATAAAACATTTTAGAGTACTTTTACTTCTAATTATGTGTACATTCCAAAATATCTTGCTAAAATACCTTTTGTTATTTACTAAGTGAATTGGCACATATTCAGGCAATGAAGAATTTCTTGACTACAAGAACCAGATGTCATTACTAATTGGTAAATTTCATGTATTATTCCACATAAACACAAGTAAACTGGAAGCTAATTAAAAGATAGCTCATACGAATGTCTGGATATTGCCTTGCTATATTAGATAAACCACAAGAAACTGGACCCATCAGTCTGTCCTGTATTTTATGATTTAGCGTAACGATCCACAAACAGTTCTATTGGTTTGGACCTCTGTACTTCTTTCTCATCACTTCTCTTACATAAGGATTCTGGCTTGGAGGATGCTATTTTAAAGAAAAAAAATGCTAAATGGTTTCTTATTTCAGTAAAAGTGAAATATTGTTCATTTATATAGAATTCTGTATTCTTCATAGAAACATAATATTATTTCTTTATTTTTAGGTATTTGGATGGAAACCAGTTTATGCTGGTTCCCAAAGAACTATCTAATTACAAGCATTTAACACTTATGTGAGTAATACATTTTTCTACCTTTAATTTATTCTGTTTCATAAAAATGGGATGCAAGGGGCAGAAGATTTAGCAAGCCTTTCAAATGACATAAATCATTTCCAGGGAGATGCTTCTCTTCTTGATCACTGTGGCTCTGGATCACTACCCACATCTTCATTGAACATCAGTCAGGCAGTGGAATGAATGTCCAAGGGAAGATCCCCTTTTATTCAGCAAAAGACCAATAAGAGAAATCTACCTAGTCAAAAATTATGGAAACTGTAAACCTGGATACATCTACTAAGAAAATAAACTCCTTTATGTTAACCTAAGGAAAGATAGAAAACAATCTATTCTTGATTTTATGCAAATGATGGTTTACCGCAGAACATCACTAAAACTATTGCTTTGTATATTGTTTCTAGTGTAAAGCATTAAAGTAATTTATAGTTACAAGCATTAAAATTTATTTCAAAAAAATCCATATACATTTATAGTATATTTAAATAAACTAAACAGATCCTGACAGTGAGATAGAAATTTCAAAATACTTAATTTTTAAAGTTTAGTTTGATGTCCTCTTAAAACAATGTCTTTTATCTTTAATGTAAGCAGTCTCTGTCCATCTGCAAGTTATAAATACAAGAAGGTATTTAAATGTGCAAACACTTCAGTCTAGTGATGTGAATGATATTTTATGATGGTTTTAATCTTGTTACATATAATGTCACATTAAACCAAGAACAGGCTTGGTAATTGATGAAATTGTGGAATATATAAAAATCAGCAAACATTTAGTAGATGTTAATAAAAAATACTGTATCCTTAGTTTATCTATTTCATTTCACAGTAAATATAGCTAGTTTTGGAGGCAGATTCATTGTGTTCTTAGAATAAGAAGGTTTATTCCTAAGTGGTTAGTTCTAAAATCTAGAAGAGCAGAAAATATTATCTGTTTACACTGTCCCAGTGTAAACCTTCCCTAAGTTACCAACATGAGCAACCAGGCTGTAGGAAGATTGAACTAGATAAATGACAAAGGGTTCAATTAATAAAAGAGATCTCTTAACATGCCTTCTTCTGCCTCTAGTTACTTACTTGATGGCAACAGCTGATTTTATATACATTTTTTCTGTTAGTCTATTAACTTGCTCTGATTTTAAGAAGTTCTCTTTAACAAGTTTGAGTCTTTCTGGAACAGCATTGATTATTTCAAACCAGTTAGAAACAAGAAATGAGATCTGTGTACCCATAATTGGTTTTACCAGTGATTTATACAAATGTCTTCTGCTAAAATAGATATATTTATTTTTTAATTTAGATACAGTATTTGAGCAGTTAAAAAATGGATTATAAAATTCCTGTAAGTTTCCTACAATTATCACAATTCTCTGTCCACTTTCCCAATATTTTGATATTTTAGCCCATAACAAATATCTTTAATCTTTTCTGATCCTCCATTTATTCGTGTTTTGGATTTCGCTTCATAAAAATAGTGAAGAAATACATTAGTGAATATATGTGTGTGAGTGAGAGAATATAGATGCATCTATATGATGAGAGTAACAGCAAGTTCAGAGAATTTAAATTGTGACATAGTACTTACAGATACTATTGCATTGATAAATATTTGGCGTCTCTTAATTGTTATCAAGTAAACAATTATTGAGGGCAGAAATACCGATATTTTAATGATAACATGAAGCGTATGTAAATCAAGGGTACCTTCATTTCTCAATTTGAGTACGTGTATTAGTGAACATAGGTATCATCCAGAATAAAGTCTGAGGATCTGATGGGATTTTCAAGAACAAAGGTTTCTTTCTCATCCGGACAATGTACTTATTATGGGTCTCCTCCAAGAAAGCTGTCTGTGGAACAGCTCAAATCTTGTGGGTGGAAGGACAGAGGGATACAGTGAAACTTTCCATATGAAGGAAGCTTTGCACACTTTCGCACATTACCATATGAAGCTTCCACTCTGGAATGAGAATACCCACTGTGCCACATTTCATTGACAAGACATCAGGTCACTCCAGATTTCAGTGGGCCATAGGATGAAGAAGTATGAAGAGCATTGCAATCTACTCTGCAGAGTTTTGGTTTTTTTCAGTTGATAGCTGAACTCTAGCAATACTTCTATAACTATGAACAAAATGAGCCTTGTCTAAGTATCATTAGTATTTTTATTTTGGTTAGCAGTACACACCGTGTCTTTCTTCTTCTTTTTTTAGAGATTTAAGTAACAACAGAATAAGCACCCTCTCCAATCAGAGCTTCAGCAACATGACTCAGCTTCTCACCTTGTAAGTGTGAAAGAGGCCCTAGTTACACAGCAGTCCAGGTGGCAGAAACACACTCAGTATACACACTCTGTTTCTGGTGAAGAAAAGTCTCTGCCCTTCGGGAGTGGAAATTCCATTGGGAGAAACAGACAGTCTCATTACACAAAGAGAGTGCTGGGTTCTATAAAAGTAACAGTAATTTATTTTTGTGTTGGGGTTGGGAGATCTTAAAGGATTAGGGGAGATCCATGAGATGGTCTTTGGGGGAATGGCACATTAGGAAGGTAATGGTTGGGGCAGAGGTTGGGAAATATTCTTAAGTTCTTTTAGGAAATAAATTTGTTGTATTAGGGAGACAAAACCAAGGTGAATCTAAGGTACATTATGTAAATATGCTCAATTTAGAAGATGCTCAGATCACCTATTTCTTAACTTCTTTATTTTTAAAATGACATTAAGACAATATTGGATTACTGAGTAAAATAATCATATATGCTTTTCAGAATTCTTAGTTACAACCGTCTGAGATGTATTCCGCCTCGAACCTTCGATGGATTGAAATCTCTTCGATTACTGTAAGCATTCCACACTGAAAAATTACCTCTGTTCTCAGGGATCAGAGTATTGGTCATCTTTCTAATCATTTCACTACTTTTCTGATTTTTGGCTATTTTCAATGATGTGCATTAGGATTCACATAAATTTGGAAATAGGAAATTATATCTTACCATATCATTGTTCAGCAGCTTTGTAGGATACAACTTAATTTTCCCTTTTGTAATATTGGTTTGCTACTATAGTCATTTATTAGATATTATGTTACCTTAAAACATGTTTTATACAGCTATAATTTATTTTTAAATACAGCAAAGCAATTTCTTTAGAAATCACAGTATTTAATACATGTTTACTGTTTAAAATGCTCTACATTAAATAATGATCGGTCTCACTTCCACATTCTGTTACTAAAATTAAAATAATTTGATTTGCTTCTCTGTTTTTATATGGATTTATTTTTATGCCAGAAACATTCACACAGCTACAAAACATTTAAAGTTCATAAGGAAGAGCTTTTCTTATTCTGCTATTAGCTGTTTTTATTTTTAACATCTGCTTTAGAATATTTCCATTCTGCCATAAAGAAATATAACACAACTATTTAACAGGTACCAATATCCCATAGGTGGGAGGAACCGTGACATCATCCTCATTGTTACATAATGTGGCTTTGTTACAGATTTTCATTATTCTGTACAGTTTACTAGGAGACATTCTATGTATTTACCTTGGTGCAAATATGCTGGTGTTTTGCAGTAACAGAGAAGGAAGGTATGGTCTGGTGTGTTGAAAGGATATCAAAATTAAGTGTGGACTTAACTCCCAAACAAAATTGTCCCAACTTACAAATTTTACCATCCACGTGTAGTATAGTATTTTTAAAAAAAATACTCTTGAAAACACTGAATATTATTAGTCCTTTTATTTTTCTCCATGTAATTGATTTTAAATTTTGTTTTGATTTCCATTTCTAATTACTAGAGCATTTAAGTATATTGTATTGAGCATTTGTGCTTCTTATTCTAAACAAAGCCCTTGCAGGCTGTTTTCCCATTTTCTATTAGGTAATCTGTCTTCTCATTATTAACGTAGATGTCTTCATACTTACTGCATAACCACATCTTTTAGGTCTTTTTTGTAGAGAAATTAATCCTTATAATTTATACCATTGCAAATATCTCCCATTCTGTTCTGCGAATGGCATTTCTGCCATCTGAATATATTTTTATTTCAAAACTTCACCACTCTTTTCCTTTATGATTTCTGGGTCTTAGATCAAGCTTTTGAAAGTCTAACCCTAACCCTAGGATTATATGAAGGAGTACATTTTCTTTTGATAAATCGTCAGTTTTATTTTTACGTTTAACTCTCAGTCTGGAATTTATTTTGGACAGATGATGTGAGGTGAGAACATGGGAACTAGCTGTTTTCTTTTCTAAATATACAGTCAGTTGTACCAGTGCTATTTACTGCATACACCATTTTCTGCAATGACTTAAAATACTTATTAATAACTAAAATCTAATGAATTCCTCTGAGTTCTTTGAAATACAGGAAATTTAATTTTGTGTTTTCTTCTTTCAGCTCTTTACATGGAAATGACATTTCTGTTGTACCAGAAGGTGCTTTCAGTGACCTCTCTGCCTTATCACACCTGTGAGTACCTAGCTCATGAGTACGGACGGACATGTGAGGGTCAGATTCCCCCAACTAAAGGGATTCGGAAAAGTCTTCTATCACACCTTTTACTGTAGCATCATAAACTGTGGTTGGTTTTATCTTTTTTAAAAAAATGTAAAGATTTTAACCTGGACATAAAGCTTTCTAGAAGGCAACTTTAATTTACCCTTTGGGCTTTTACTGTGCAATACTTGAGCTCTGTTTCCTTGTCTAATATCCTTTATATACACATGGATCCCTGAACTCACCAGCCTTTTTTTCGCTGTTCTCTGCTTCTTGTATATTGACTCCCCTTTAATTTCATCTGCCCCAACCCAACTTTGCTGGATCACATCCCAATATCCTCTCTACTAAGAAGCCTACCATGATTTGCGTAGAAGAGATTCATTTCTTTAGCAGAAATTACTTTGAGTACGATCCATGCAAAAATAAATTTGACATAGCTCAAAACTTGGTAGTCTTTTACTGGGAAATAGCTTTTGTTTCTGTTTTCTTTTTTCATATCCTATGTTTGGAATTGAACACACTAAGCTACATCTACAGCCCTTTTATGTGTTAGTTTTTATTTAAAAATAGGCTATCACTAAGATGCCGAAGCTGGACCCCAAATTTCAGTCCTCCTGCCACAACCTCCCATAAGGCTGGGATTTACAAGTATGAACCACCACACTTGGCTTGCTTGTGTTTTCTTTCATAGCAGCCCATTGTACCACTGTTCAATTAAAATATATGTGATAATCATGGCCTCAAAGCTCATTTGTAGGGAACTGAACTATTTCATTATTACTAAGTATCTTAATAAGATCATGGCAAACCTTGAAGGCAATTTACAGATCAACTCTAGGATCCAAAGCCTCCATGAGTGACAGAGTTTGGCATTAGGTGGTTATCTGTTTCTGCCTAGCTATCGATGTCATTTGGGACTCACTTCTCATGGAAGAGGTTGCCTCATGAGATTTGCACTCCCTTCTAAATCACACAAGCACCAATAAGATAAGATTTAGAAAACAGAAAGGGAAGTATCTTGTGAAATAGGAATCCAGTCGTCAGTCATACTACAACTGAATCTGCCTTATGGGAGCTCTATTATCAGTATAGGTTCTTGTACGTTCACTTATCAAACTGTTAAGGGACTCATGTTCATATTCCTTCACTAGACTACTAAATTCCCAAAGCAGGACCCCCATTTTCTTGTCTTTGAGGCCCAGCATCTAACTCAAAGTCAACATCAAACCAACATGGCTGTCCTTCATATCAAAGGCAATGAATAAAGCCCTTAGCTCAGGCTGCAGTGCTGCTGCACTGTCTGGTAGAGCATGCACTATAAAGAAGAAGAGGAGGGTCTGTTCGACTTAGGGTCATGGATCATTAAGGCTACACAGGAAGAATGCACCTTGAGCTGAGTAGAGCTTCCCTGTATATGACTATCCTCCCTCCCTCAACAGAGTGCAGCTGGAACCTTCTTTCTTGAGTGGTCTGTTCTACTTTGTATTTTGTTTATGCATTTGTCTTTTATATCCTAGTTCATAAAGGGCACTGCTTTATTCCCTCTTTCCCTATTCTCCCATCATAGTAAAGACTTAGCAAATGTCTACAGTAGAGATGAGATCAAATGGCTCAGAAACAGCATTTTGCTCATTTTTAATTTAGAAGTGTTGGAATATCACATGTATGTGAGCACATTTTTTACACTTCAATTCTTGGATAAAATTGAGCACTAAGTTGCTAAATGCACACTATTATGATTTTTAAGTATATTTTCAGGGTTACCTAAAAAAAGCATAATAGTATGCTTCTAGATTGCAGACCTAGAGGTATTATTGATCAGATGTTGATTAGTAATCAAAATTAATGTTTTTCAGTGCTACTTTATGCATCTACTACTTGTGCCCAAGCTTTGCAAATTTATTAAACTAGACTCAGTGTCTAACCTTAAAATAGAATGTTCATAACATTGGCCTTATGGAATTGCTATTTCAAACAAAACGAGACAACCCGTGTAAATGGCACAGCTTAGCTCTCGCAGATAAAAGTTATGTAATAAATGTTAGCTGTTATCTTGATTACTTTTCTGTCACTACTATTGATTGTGGACCAAAGTTTTGAAATGAAGACCTGTCAGGTAACAGACTAGTAAAGGTCCATATCAACTGTAGTAAATTAGTTTTATGCATCTTTATTATTTCACGCCATTTTTTTAACCTCTGTGCCTTTGTATTTATTAGTTATTCACTTGAAATTTCCACCTCAACTTTTTCATCTTAACTCTAGCTATCCCTTTAATACTTGACTCTGATTATCTAAGAAAGCTTAGACTTTCTTAACCACAGCCTGCTCCCCGGAAAGTTAGTCTGCTTGTTCAAGGCACCTTGTAAATATATACATTAGTGCTTACTTCTCATGCAAATTATTTGTGTGTGTCTATATGCTAATTTCTTCAGCAAGAGGAAGTCCTTAGAGTTAACAAAAGTGATGTTTTGTTCGTATTTGAGTCTTCACAACCTTGCCCAATAATTGTGTTCTCAGGAAATAACTGTTATGTGCAAAAAATATTAGTCTGCCCTAGGGTATGCTTAAACCGAACATAATCCTTCTCTGTAAGTAGGAGGAGAATTGCAAAGATCAGGTGAGTGTTAAAATCAGTGACAACTAACTACATCTAAGCTGTACATACACAAAGGGATTTTCACTGCCCCCATTTTATTCTTGGTTTTTATTGTTCATAAGACCTGTAGGGATTTTCTATTGAGCATCTCTTTGAATTCTGTTCTCTGAGGAAATAACAACCCTCCTGTACGTGTGTGTGTGTGTGTGTGTGTTTTTGTGTGTGTATGTGTGTGTGTGCCCTTGTGGTGTTTTTCCAGAGCAATCGGCGCCAACCCGCTTTACTGTGATTGTAACATGCAGTGGTTATCCGACTGGGTGAAGTCAGAATACAAGGAGCCAGGGATTGCTCGCTGTGCTGGCCCTGGAGAAATGGCGGACAAACTGTTACTCACAACTCCCTCCAAAAAGTTTGTATGTCAAGGTATGATTTAATCACTTGTACTTCTTTTTAAAAAATAGCTAACTGCAAAAGAAAAATGACAGTTATTCGATGCTAGTCCTCCAAGATACCATTGGAAAGCCCCCAAGTGGTTACTTTTCCACCTGTCCTGATAGAAACAAGGAATTAAATGCCATGCTCAGGTAAAAAGTTAAGCTTTTCAAGAAATGCATCTGTTGAAATGACGAGGGTTTTCTTGAAAATGGAAGTACAAACACAGCAAATACAATTTCTAGAAATTCCTTTCACATCCTCTAATTAGTAAAATGTTTTGTTTTTGCCTTATTTGAATGTACCCTGCTCTTAGGGCTTCCTGGGCCCTGTGGCTTCCTGATACCAGGTAAGGAAAAATGGGCTCTCCCATGGGTCCCAGCTAAACCCCTGACTGACCTCACGTCCTGCAAACTCGCCGTGTTGATGCTCCTCTTCCCCACCTGTTGTTTCCCTTCCTTTCCCCTTTAATGTATTCATGACTTCTAAATGGTACCTTCACAACAGTATTGTTTTCCTCACTTTTTATAAGAGTAAAAAATATACAAAAGACTCTGAGTATGAAAAAATCTAAAGCCTAAATTGGAAAATGTAAACAAGAAACATTTCATTTCTGCAAAAAGAAATAAAATTAACCATTATTCATACCACCTGGATTTAGCACAATTAAACTTTACTTTATAGATCTTTCCATTTGGGGCAGTCAAATAAATGAATGTAGGTTTCTTACATAAAATGGGATAGAGGGAACCAGTATTCTTAAATCATAGATGCTTTAAGAGAGCTGGTGAGAATTAAATGGAGGAGAAAATTTCTTGAAATTTCTAAATGCGTAATCATCACATGTTTAATAAATAAGCTTTATGTGTAAAACTAAATGCTAGGTATTATAGACCAAACGCTAGGTATTGTAGACCACACAGAGAAATAAGCTGTGGTCTTCTCTTCCCAGACTTGCTAACCTGGTCGAAAAAATAGACTTTCAACAACTGAACATTTATGTGGAAAGGACATGTGAAGTCAGTGACTCTGTACAATGGGTTTATTATGCTCTCTGGACTCCATGCAAGATGGGGTTAAATCCCAGCTTCATTTCCTAGTAGTCAGGTAACCTAAATTAATCACTAAACCAGTGTCTCAAATTATTCATATCGAAGCAGATAATACTATCAACTTCAAAGCGTTTTATTTAAATTAAATAAATTGATCTATACAGGGAACATACACAGTAAGAGCTCAGTATAGCTTAAGATATAATTCTATTACAGCATTTTAAAACACCAACCAAAAAAAAAAAAAATGATGGTAGACACTCCATGATTTGTTGAAGGAATTTTTCAAAAGCCGTATATTCCTAACCATTTTTAAATTGACATTTCTAATGCTATTTTTTATAGCTGTATATATTTGAAAAAGCATTGTAATTTGCATAACATTGTAGTTATAAACATTGTAAAACACATTTCTTCTGATCTTTTCAATGTATTTGGTGAAATTTTAATACTACATCTAATTTTAAAAGAAACAAAAGCAAGATCCTCCTTAATATATTATGTTGTCCTACCCAAAAAACTTTAAATTTTTGTTGTATTTTTATACCTAGTATAAAATGTATCATTCTTTAGTACCAAAAAATGAATATCACAATTGGAATTTTTTTTAATTTACTGCTATCAAAAGTCTGTGTACATTTTTTCTCTAAATTGAATTATTGTCACTTATACTAGGGCATCATTAATCAAAACCATAAATATTTATATATTTTAAAATATTTTTATTAAAAACTAAAGTATACTTGTATTGCAGCATGGTTATGTGTACTGATTGCAAGAACCTTGTAAATAACAGCTATTTCAGATTGTTCTTTTAAAAACCATAAATTTATATATTTTAAAATATTTTTATTAAAAACTAAAGTATACTTGTATTGCAGCATGGTTATGTGTACTGATTGCAAGAACCTTGTAAATAACAGCTATTTCAGATTGTTCTTTTAAAATGTAGGTGTTTCCTTGAGGAAGTTCCCCATGTCAAGTTTGGTGACCTGAGATGTACACAATTGTTTTGTGAAGTGTGAGAGAAAAGATTGTCAAAGGGGAAGTAGAAAAGAGGAAAGTAGCATAAATCTTGGTTTTAGGCATGTTACCTGGCAACATGGGGGAGTTGAGAGATTACAAATTGATTCTGCTATGCTTCTCTCTGCCCAGTGTTACCCATACTTCCTTTTGAAGAATGATGGTGCTTGTTTGTATTTCTTAAATTTACAATTCCTTGGAGTTATTTCTTTCTTTTGGTATTTCTCTTTCTTGCTGCCTTCCTGCCTTCTTTGCTTCCTTCCTTTTTCTGAAATTTCTTTAAAAATTTTAGTACAGTTTTGGAAAGTTTCTTATTCCACTGTTAGAACATCATAGTTTGCATTAATTTATCTGATATTCTCCAAAATCCAGTATATACATAGTACATGCCTGTGTATTTAACTCGGGATTTACCTCATTAATTGGTCCTGTGTTTTCATTGAATGACTATAGCATCTTGTGTACTTAGTACAGCATAAATGAAAATAAGGTTGAGTCCTTATCAGCACTGCTCTCTACAGATTTGTGTGATGAAGGAGGTGTTTTCTGCCTTCATTATCTAATGATGTAGTAGCCCTAGTCACATGTGGCTATTGAGCAGCTAGCATGTGGCTAAAATCATAAAGGAAGTGAATTTTCCATTTTATTTAAATCTAAATTTAAAATATCCGCATGAGACTCATGGCTACCGTCTTGGCTAGTGCACTTGCTGCAAGGACTCCCAAGAAGAAATCGAGTCAAAAGAGGTAGCTGTGGAACACTTCATTGCAGTCTGTTCAGACAGACTGATCAGTGTGAGGGCATTTCACCATGATGGCGGAACCACAGAAGCAAAAAGTACATGATAGGAGAATTCTGTACCTGATCCAGATCCACCAGGAAACAGCTGAGCTGAGACGTTTTAATTGAAGAATCTGACAGCTGAACCTTGACAGTTTGGTTTAATATTCACTTCCTTATCAAATCAACAGATCACATACTTTCAGGGTATTCTTTAAACTGAATGGCAAAGAACATGGGTGTCACCAGTTGACAAGTAGAATACACATTTAAGAGTCAACAAAATATACTGCAATACCATTTAGCAGACCTTAGGATTTACTCGGTTTTCTATACCTTAATGTAATTTTAGAATGATGGCAAACACTGAGATTCATAACACCTTTTGCATTTGTGTCAGTTTGTCAAAATATTGTGAAGTTTCACTGTCTTATTAATTCTCTGCTCATTCAAGATTTGTGAAATTCAGACTGAAAATTTGTTAATACACTACTTCTACTGATATAACAACAGTAACAGTGATCGCTTGCTTCACTTTTGAGTGCTTTTCATTATGCTGAGCATTTTATCTGATTTTTATCTTTTAATCTTCACATTATTCCTATATAAAAAAAATCATTTCCCCACTTGAGAGATGAAAATATTTTCCTTAAAGTGACTAAGTAATTTATTCAAAATCACTCTTCTGCTGAATGAATCAAATTTGAACCCTGAATCTGACTCTAAAACTTGCTAAAATTCGTGTTATAATTTTCAGTAGAAAATTTCCTGAACAAGTTAATGTTAATAAGATTGCCACCCTACTTTGGAAATATACTGAGAAAATTGAAACTTTGAACTATCCTCAAATGTGTTACTAGAACTATTAACTCATTGGAATTAGATTGGTAGACGGCAATCTATTAATTAAAACAATTCACTCAAGGAAATCTCTTGAGTTTTGTGGTGTTGAACATGCATGCTTTATGAGCTTGAAAACAACAATGTGATGTTTTTTAAAAAAATTTTAATTTGATATTTTCTTCTTAGCCCTTGGTTATGCAAGTGATGCAATTTTTTAAATTTTTTGTTTTAATTTTTGAAATACGTGTAAGTTAAAACTCCCAATACTGTCAGTATGCAATTTCAAATCACAGCAGGAAGTATTATTTACTTAAAGACATGTTTACTTAGCTATATCTAAGTATATTTTAATTTTTTTCTGCAAGAAAAAAGTTATACAGTTGAGAAAAATAGCATGACACATGGAACATTGTTAACTTCTAATATTCCCTATTTTATACTTCTGGTCTAGGGAAATTTAACTATACAAACAACTAAATTGTTCCCTTTTTTCATGTGTAAGAAATTCTTTAAATGCTTAAGCATTCTAAGGCGTAAAAATTGTATTGGAAATGAATGATACACTTTTTGGTTCATTTAATGAGAATATTGGTAGAGTTTTTACTGTGTACCAAGCAGAGTTCCATGGTGTAAAGAGTACAATAGACACTATACAATTAAACCCCTGTCCTCATGGAGCTTATATTTTACTAATATCAAATGGAAAATTCTAAAATAATAAGGAAGTTTGGTGATAGAAATATGTATAAGATGTCAATAATATATACCCAAACTAGTCAGTTATGGCATTGAAATGATACTGCATGTACTCGAGGTGACCTGCAAGGCAAGTGGAACTGAGAGTAGAACACACGGGAGATGCGGAGAAGGCTCGAATAGCCATGAGCTCAAATAAATGGGCAGGAAATGCTGCTAAAGAATTTCACTGCTTCGTTAGTAACAGTCAAAGAAACCATCAAAGAAACCTGGGAACTTTGTGATTCCTAAAAGGATTAACAATCACCACCCTTTATTTGAGTTCTTTCTCTCATTTTTATGTATTAAGAATCCTATGGATTCTAGAATTTCTGGAAAAATTCCTTGTCTCTCAGTAATTACATTGAAATATTATGGGTTTCTTTAGAAAGAGCAACATTTTTCTTTTAGGGAAATTTTTGATGAACTTGAATGGAGGCCTTTTGTTTTATGTCTTAAAATTATTAATATTATCCTTGGTCACTTAAATAAGTATGAAGAGGATTAATTAATTTATCCCAAATGAGCAATAATGAAAAATTTACTCCTTGGATCAGT